TTTGTTTTTGTTGTTTAGTCCAAACTCAACATCTGCCATATACATTAAGATTTTAAAAGTGTCAAACTGCTATGCACAAAATGTGTGTTTACATGAGTGTTTGTGTGTGTGTGTGTGTGAGTGTGTGTGTGTGTGTGTGTGAGAGTGTGTGTGTGTGTGTGTGTGAGAGTGTGTGTGTGTGTGTGTGTGAGAGTGTGTGTGTGTGTGTGTGTGAGAGTGTGTGTGTGTGTGTGTGTGAGAGTGTGTGTGTGTGTGTGTGTGAGAGTGTGTGTGTGTGTGTGTGTGAGAGTGTGTGTGTGTGTGTGTGTGAGAGTGTGTGTGTGTGTGTGTGTGAGAGTGTGTGTGTGTGTGTGTGTGAGAGTGTGTGTGTGTGTGTGTGTGAGAGTGTGTGTGTGTGTGTGTGTGCGTGTGTGTTATTCTACTTTAAATGAGTGTTCTGTGTCGGAATGTCTGTTTTTGTTTTGGTCTGTGTGATTCCACCCACTGCCAATTTACCCAATAGTATTTCTTAAAAACCTCACATGATCTGCAAAGGTGTTGCTGCTGTATTATCCATTTTATTAATTAAATATTCTTTCAACTGAATAATCAACTAGTGTAATGTATGTTTATTATTTATTACTTTTTCTGTTACCTCTTTCCTCAGCTTGTGCCAAAAAAATGTTTGTGTGGGAACATTTTTTGTGAATAACTTTAGCAGAATATGAGAGCATTTAATACTATAACATTATCTTCAAAAAAATCATTATAGAATTACAGGTTGACTTCTCTCTCGTTTATGCCAAAGTGAAATGTTTAATGAGTAATTAGAAAATTAAAGCTGCTGAAACTGGATGCCTTGCACATTTAAGTTAAAAATGCCTATCCCGATATCAGATTGTAACGTGTTAGGCATGCGAGCACAAAGATATATCAAAAATACTATTTAAACACTGAGAAAACACTAGAAGAACTTCTGGAAACAAAACCAGTACCAGACAATGAACAAAGGAGAACTCAGGGCTTAAATATGTGAAGAGAGTAATCAGGGAGAAATTGAACAGGTGTGGGGACTAATTAGCAATCACAGAAACTAACTAGAGAACTAATCAGATATACACGTGACAGAACTCCCCCCTCCTGGAAGGCACGTCCTTGTGCCTTGCATTTAATCTAATGTACTAATATGCACCTTTTCTAGGTAGATAAGGTATAGAGTTTCCCATTTATGGGTGCTTTCCCAGTGATCAGCAGTTGTACTCCTAAAGGTACCATTTTTGCACTTTTTTTCTGCCAAGATAAAAGAGCTGCCCACAAAACTATTGATTTCAGCTGTTAATGCATGAATTTTGACAGTTCTAATTGTAATGTAAATGTAGGTTTATTCATGTGACTTGGTTGATAACTTGACTTTAAGAAGTCAAATAGTAAGCTTGATTACTTTAAAAAAAAAAAAAAAAAATGTACTTTTTAAATATTTTCAATCAATTTTTTTTTCTCAATCAAACAGCTTTTCCCAATTTAGACTGGCTTCATTTTTCACTCTGCCTCAGTTTTTTTTTTTTTACACTTCACTTAGTTAAGGACTAAATGTATGGCTGTTAAAATGACCACAATGCATTCTGGATATTCCCTATTGAAGATCTTGCTGATTTAAGACCTTAAAAATGTAGCAGTGTCTGAACACAATGGTGGGGGATTACAACATTTTAATGATTCAAACCCACTGTTGGGTGCACTGTAGGGCTCATGAATGGAATAAGTTAACAGACCACAATAGTGGCATTAGTGCTAAACGTTTTCACAATTCTAGACGTCACATACTTCACATACTTTGGGTGTTGTACATCTGGGTATGATGGAAGCTTAATGACATTTTATGAATGTATTTGAAACATCTTGCAAGCATAGTTTTTATAGTTGCAAGCATAGTTTTGAGTTGTGTTCAAATTAGATTTTTAGATGTATTTATTTTTATTGGTCCCTTTCCACATTCACAAAAGAAGAAAATAATTTGTTTGTTAAATAGCTTAAAAGAATGTCTGATAATACTTGATTATGAGAGAATTAAATTATACAAACTGAAACAAGCGACTCTAAGTCTAGCTATTTAGATTGAATGATGCGGTCGTCTGCAGTATAATTGATTTAAAGCTGAGATTATTGTGATTACATGGCAAAATAAAAAACAGTCTGGTGAGCGGATACATTCCTCTCTTACATTACTGTCTGCATCACACACAGTGCACCTGGTGGTCTGTCTGTTTTTTGTGTTTTTTTCCTGAGAACATTCTTTCTCACACTCTGACTCTGTTGTTTTCAAGTATTTGAAATTGTTTTTTTAGTGGAATTAAAAACCCACAGCCTCAAAAGCGCTTGCCCCTGTTTCCATATGGCTCAGAAAAGTTCCCATAGCGATCTCCCACTGGCCCTGCTTATTTGCGATAGTAGTTGAAATGCGGCATGCTGCCTTGCAAAGTTCATTAAATCACTGTTTTACCACTCAGCTTAATCCTTATACCAATACAGCAGTACAATCCCGTAAGACAACAGAAAGAGAGACAGAAGCAGAGGGCTTAAAGACTTGACAGATCAGAGCTGACGTTTTGTTTTCCCACCGTTGCCAGGGAGCACAAGGAATCTTGCTTCTGAGCACTAGCACTGCTCTTGAGGAAAAACGTGGGGATGCGGGACATGTCCTCCTATCCGCCCAATGAAATGCCTCCTCAATCTAGGACTGTCCTTGATTGAGGCCATCTGCCAGCGAATTCAGCAGGGCATCGGTTTATAGAGCGCATCCTATTGTCCTTGTATTAAGTTTGTATCAAAGATGAACTCGGGTGCAGGAACACTTTAGAGATAAAGCAAGTCCTATGTTTTTGGCAGCGCTGCCCCCTCCCTATCCTGTCCACATACAGCAGCTCCTACTGTAAGGGACGTCTTCACCAGCAGGGAGCCAAAGAGGATCTCATGGAATGCCTATCCTCTGTTTTGTTTTGTTTATACATTGACAATGTGTAATAGCGCATTACTATGGGGAGTTGGGGAGGGTGGGATGTTGAGATGGTGTTAAGAAAAGACAAAAAGCAGTGGTACATGCCAAGTGCCAATTGTCTCCTCGTAATAAGCACCAAAAGACCAACTTCTGTGTGTTACCATACAGGTGAACTCACTCCTGGGAAAGTAGGGTTTTTCTCAGCCTCCGCAGAGAGCCAGCGTCGCTCTTTTCTCTCTCAGCAGTAACGTGATTAGTCGTGCCATTGCTCTCCAGGCTTTCACGCCACTGTCTACTTCCCATCTTCCACTAATGTGATTATCCCAGCCCCTGTGGTCCAAGCAGAAGGACGAGGGACTCCTCTTGAGTTGCACAGTGCCTCACAGAACCCCCCCTCCAGCACCACCACCACCCAAATTCTCTAGCACCTCTGTAAGACATGTTGGGCACAATTCAGATGCCATCTTAGTCAAAACAAGACAAAAACTGCATTACGCCTCCATGCCTTGAAAAATAATCACTACATCTCAACAGCTATTTGGACGATAAAATTCTCTAAATTAAATAGCGACGCGTTAATGTCAACTATTTTTTGTGCAACCGTCTTATTAATTTCATATGAAATTTGTTTGATATGCAGTTTTCTGTGTGAATGATCGGTGGTGGAATCGGCTGCGATGCAAGGGGCACCAGCTAAAATCTTGCCAAGGGCACCAAATTGGTCAGGGCCAGCCCTGTATGCAGCTCACTGAAACCGAACCTTATTGATAACTCCTGAAGATTTTCAGAAACTCTGGTTACAGTGTTGACGTGTAGCCGGTGAAACTGGAGATTTTTGTGACGTCGTCGTCTTCTTCTAATAACGTTTTATGGCGGATGGCAAACCAACTTCTGGTGCATTTACCGCCACCAACTGGACTGGAGTGTGAAGCACTAATAAGCAACTAATATAAAAAATAAATAAATTCTCCTGATTAATCCTATTTCTTTAATGTATTTTATAATAGCACCATATATTTTACCTTGTTCTGTATGCTCTTTCAAAAGGCTTGTCAAATTAAATGATTCAACACCCATGTTTCTTAGTTCTTTAATGAGTTTTAACCTTTCTTTTTCATATTTTTTACATTTTATTAAAACATGCTCTATTGTTTCTGCCTGATTACAATAAATACATTGACCTGTATCATGTTTTCCTATATTAAACAGAGAGCGATTTATGCTGCGTTCACGCCATATCGTAATTACCGTGATTTCGAGATGACAGCACGTGACGTTCTACTCGGAGCTCGTGAAAATAAAACAGAGCCTGCGGTGGTCAGGTGGTACGTGGTACAAGTCATATCTCTCAGAAAACTCCCAGTTCACAAGTTGATGCGAGAAATCTTTGTGACGTCGGCACTAACAACCGGTAATAACATGGCTTTATGGTTAGGGTTATATCGCCACCTGTTGGTTTGGCATGCTCTTGACTGCTAGCGTGTTTTTGCATTTTCATGTGGACTAGATTATTTTTAAACAAAGGACGAAAAACTCCCGTTTATAAAAAAATACCCGTGTACGTGTGGACTATAGGGTATATGTCGAACATCACCTGACCAAACCCGGAAAACAGGTCTCATTGCTTCCGCTTGTCGGAGAACGTGTTAACAGCCGTATTAAATAATAGCGATATCTATGGACTTTTAAGATAATCAGTTAAACTAGCTAGCTGTTTTTATTGTTGATGTTTTATTAAATTTTTATATCTAAATGTGACAAGAATAAAAATTTTAAAAAACTTTTAGATATCAGTCCACACGTGTGATGGACATTGGTTATGATCATCATTGGTATCTACTTTGAAGGCATCTTGAGTAAAACTGCTTCATATTCATATATACAATACATTTAGACTTGCATTTGCGTTTGTAATTTGTTATTTTGTTTTCAAAATTGTGATTTGTTTTGCATTTCTCGTCCACCGTACATGTATCACCTTACCTGTCATGTGAAAAGCCTGTCATACCGACAACTTTGCAGGCTATTCTTGCACCGCGGAGGGTTGCTCGTTTGTGGGAAAGAACTGGACGGAGATGACAAACCACAAAAAAGTTCATATAGGTAATCATATGTTTTGTTCTGAATGTAAATAGCCTAACCTTACAGAAAGTTAGAAAACATTACTTTGGTAATTGTTTTGTGTGTGTGTGTTCAGTCAGGGTACGGTGTGATCAGTGTAAGAAAACATTCAGTGATAGCTGGTTCCTGAAGCAGCATCAGCATGTTCACTCTGAAGAGCGCGTGGTGTATCACTGCCCCAGAGATGGATGTTCCCGCTCTTACACCACTGCGTTCAGTCTTCAGAGCCACATACTGTCATTCCACGAAGAGCAGCGCTCCTTCATCTGCACTCAGCTTGGCTGCGGCAGGTCCTTTGCCATGAAGGTAACCGTGCTTTCTAGGGATGCACCGAATGTTCGGCAACCAAAAAAAGCTCTTTCGGTGTTCGGCCAAATAAGCGAAAAGACTGAATAAATTGTACCGAACAATGACGTGACTCGATCAAATAGCAACCAGCGTAAAGTGAAAATCTGCGTTGAAACAGTGTTACTCGTCAGTTGCTCAGTCACATTTTATGAATTTTTACAAGGCATGTGACAATGCGATACGTGCGACGTATTCGTAATGAGACTCGTGTATAAATCTGCTGTTATCAACAAAAAGAAGCATTGAGGTCTTCCTGCGCGTTTCCGCCAAAATAAAAGTTGACAAAATATGTCAACAAACATTCATAAATGTTAGTATTGTTGTAATTTTACTGTTGTTCTGTAAAATAAAATAAAAAGACAATAATAATGATAATAATTACAACAGCTGTGTTAATACATTTATTGTAACATTCACACATAGTGTTCAAATTGGGATCTGTAATATTTTCTAATGTTTTAAAAGAAGTCTCTTCTGCTCAGCAAGGCTGCTTTTATTTGTACAGTAAAAAAAAACATGATTGATTTTTAAAAAAAAATCAAAATTGATTATTTCTTTGAAAACATGAAAAAAACAGTAAAAAGCACATTTTGGCTATTTAATTTATGCAATGGTGAAAAACATTGTCAAAATGCATGGGGGGAAAAACTTGAAAAACAGTGTTCAGTATTCAGCCCAGTGTTTAATTTTATTCGGCTTCGGCCAAGAATTTCCATTCGGTGCATCCCTAGTGCTTTCCCATCATCAGAGTTTTGTAGTATCTGCCTCACTAACTACTAGGGCTGCCACGATTCCTCGATTTAAAAAAATCCTTGATTGCATTTTGCCCGTGTCGAGTAATCGGCAAAATACCGGAAGTGGCGCATTCCACGGACAAGAATCCATGAAATGCATTATTAGACCGTCTTCCAAGGCTGCGTGATATATTAAACCCATTTTAAAATCAGCATAAAGCACAATGCTATTGTGAATTCACAGGCGCTATGATTCAGTTAAATATATGCGATGCGTCTCAGAGCGGCTCCGTTCACAGTAAATGCTGCGCCGCACAAACGGTTATTGTTTACATGTGTGGAGCGTCTCAAACTCCATCGCTGCATATTGTTGTGTGTTTGGGTTTATTATAACGTTCATCTGGGAACGCAACATGCACCACTTCATCAGATTTATAAGATAAATCATTTATAAACCCACGCAAACACAGGAGAATACATCAATATCTTTCTCAATATCCTAATTGTTAATCGCGACTTCAAAATAAGTTTGCATGATCTGATGTCCACATACTCAAGAATTACAGCGGCTGTAGATTTCTGTCATAAAGAAGTGGCCAGATATTAAAGATTAAGTGGACATTTGAATGAAGTGTTTACTCAAAATTAAACAAGGATTAGATCGCGCAGTAAAGTGTAAACTTTAAACTTGAAGTAATTATTATTGCCTCATTGCTATTATATTTGTATTTTAATTCATTCGCTTGGGTCTATTTTATCACCACAAATAAATGAATTGTAATTAATAATCGACAGATTACTCGATTACCAAAATAATCGTTAGTGACCGCCCTACTAACTACATTTCCATCCAAGGATGTTTTTGCACAAAAAAAAAAAAAGTTTTTACACATCAAAATAGAGCTGACGGAAATGCTAATTATAGAGAAAATTCTGATTTAAAAGACTTCCAACTGTTTGAAAAGTGTTTTTATTATTTTCATTCTGCTCCAGTTCAACACTGTCTTCTGATTTTTTTAACATTTCCCAATTTGATGATGTTAAATTAGTAAGCTGGCCAATTTCGGTTGCCTTATTACTCTTTTATCAAGATTTGTGAACATCTGGGATTCTAAATACATAGAATTTGTGCTATGCGTTAAATTCAGTGGTTAAGAAGTTACTATGGGTTTGAGGCTTTGGCTTTAAAATTTTGTCTTAAATATATATATATATTTTTTGTTACAGCAAAGTTTACTGCGCCATGGTGTGGTTCATGATCCTGAAAAGAAGCAGGGTAACTACTTGCAGTATTTATTACTGATCAGCTGAAACGGACTTTTAGTCTTTAGGTTGTACAACAGGTATTTAAAATGTTTTTAAGTTGAAAATAACTGCCCTTATTGTCTCTTTCAGTTGAAACCCCATCCGAAGCACTCCCTGGCGTCCCGTCTGAGTGGCCACAAACCAAAAAACAAACGTCTAACAGAAACTTCAAATTCAGATGAATCTTCGGTGCCACAAAATAGCCAATCAGAAACCATTATGAATCTGCAATTAAATGGTCCATTGCCTTCTTTCAGCTCTGAAAGCTGTAAATTACCAAAACCAGACTTCCCAGAAACCTCCCAGAGTTTAATAAGTTCTGATTTAGAGCCCGTTAAATCAGAAAGTGTTGTCAGCAAAACAAAATCCATTTATTCTGAGCTCAACGACCCTGCAAATCCAGTGGTTCACCTTTTAGAGCCCCTCTTAGTGTAGAGTCCATGAGTCATATTCCAGTGAACCCTAAAGCTTTCTAAAGCAACATTTTTGGAGTCTTACGCCATTTATGCTGGTGTCTCCGAGTCAGGTTTTAAATTCTTGTTCGAAGTCTCTGCTCCCTTTCTCTGCAGTTCTTTAGCAGAAGCAAGCCGAAGGACACACATGGCAGCACGACCCCCACGAACCACAGACGGTTTCGATACAAAGCCAACAGCCACTGATATCCTCTCCACCATTTGCATTAAGACTTTGTCCTGTTTAGGGGAAGAAAATCATGAAATCTGCAGTGTACATTTTCAAAGCAGAACTGCACTGTTCATTTAATAGTAAATGTAACCGTTTTATTGGTTGCAAGTTGACGTTTATGCAATGAATTTGTGTATAAATAAACTAATTGCACGTAAACTCGGATCAAGCATTCCAGTATTTTTCCAAGCAATGTTTCAGGGTCAACACTAGTTACGTTTTTCGACAGCATCCATGACAAGTTCATAATAACAAATAATTAAATCATGCTTTTACAATGCAATTCTGTGGCGCAAGACATCGTAGTGGAACAAACATCAATATACACATAAGTCTTGACCACATACTAGACGACTAAATTACTAATTAAACTGAATAAATAGTAAATTGCTTTCATCAGTAAAGTCATGAGCCAGAATGGTAGTCTCGCAGGTAAAAGGATGATTTAGACAGCTCATATTTTTGGTATGGAGGTTCTATATAAATGCGATGAAATTATGAGTTGCGCATACACAGGTAGAAAGTCACTTTCCAGAAACTTAACCACCTCTGATCTTCTGTAGTGGATGCATATTAATTTAAAGACAAGATATTACTATATGCACAGGCTCAGGGACAAAATATTTGTCATAAAACTTCCAGTCCTAATCCTGAGCTCTCTTTATGCACAGTGAAACATTCACTTTAAACAACACAAACATAGACGGGATTTGTTTTTGAACAATGCACTGATTTACTAATCCAATGCAAATGAAAGGAAATGCATATTCGGTTTCAATACCAGTGATGTGCCACCGTGAGTTCGTGCTCTGTGAGTCTGACTTGGTTGTTTTTTTCCAGCCAGATGACAACTTGCCGCAGTTTAGTGTCCAGGTCATGAAGGGAGATATCGGAGGAGAAATTGAGCTCCTTTGATTGGACAGGACCTGCAGATGCACCAAAAAAAGGTCAGAGTGCTGAATGGTAAGGTTAGGTTAAACGAAGTTTCTATTTCTTTAAACAATGCAATGCAAATATCCACAACTATATCATGGAAGGAAAAGAAATGCCATTTGCATTCAAGTGCAACAGATTCTTCAATGAAGCACGAGGAGCTAGAGAAACAGAAAACTTAGACGTACAAGTCAAAAAGCTAACCCGAAATTTAACATTCAGCTGTTTAGTCACCACTGTTGTTCCAAACCCATATTCTCTTAGAAAACGAAAATTAAGCTTTTTTTTCACACTACAAGAGTTCATAGTGACCACAGCCATCAATAAATACATCATAAGAACAGTCCTTATAACTAGCACACGTAATTGCTAAATACGTATTATAGCACTGAATGAGGAACAGACCGAAATTAGAAGGAATAGTTCAAAATTTGCTAAAAATCAGGCCATCTGAGATGAGTTTGTTTCTTAATCGGGACAGATTTGGACTGGAGTGGATTATTGTGATGTTTTTATCAGCTGTTTGGACTCTCATTCTGAGGGCACCCATTCACTGCAGAGCATCCATTGCTGAGACACTGATGCAATGCTACATTTCTCCAAATCTGATGAAGAAACAAACTCATCTACAACTTTGATGGCCTGAGGGTGAGCACATTTTCAGCAATTTTTTTTTTGGACGAACTTGCTATTCCTTTTAAGCTTATCTGCTGAAAATCCTCTCCTCTGCATCTCTCAAATCTCATTCTTTATCATCTCTCTGTACTACACAAATGAGACCCAATGATGTATGAGCCATCTAACCAAAGGTTGATGTGCCTCACCTTTAAAAAAAATAAAAAACATCTGAATGCAGAGTAAAGAAGTTCATCAACGAAACGAAAACTTGGAAAATAGTTTGTATTGACTACTTTTATTATTTAAAATGACATGAGGATGAATAAATAATGGCATGACGTATATTACATTAATTGTGTCCCTGCAGCACAAAAGCAGTCTTAAAACTTAATTATTGATTAGTAATATGCATTGCTAAGAACTTCATTTGCACAACTTTAAAGATGATTTTCTCAGTATTTCGATTTTTTTTTTTCTGCACCCTCAGTTTCCAGATTTTCAAATAGTTGTATCTCGGCCAAATATTGTCCGATCCTAACAAACCATACATTAATGGAAAACTTATTCAGCTTTTTTGAGATGGTGTATACATCCCAATTTCGAAAAATTGACCCTTATGACTGGTTCTGTGGTCCAGTGTCACAATTTTTCCTGACCTTTCTTGGCTTTCTGTGTGTCTCTGAGTTTCATCTGCTCTTCGTGGATCTGTTTCCCTTTCATCAGTCTGTATAATGGAGGATCACAGTTGTCATTTATGGCAACGAGCTTCGGGCCTGTTTGGTCCATCAGTCGTATCACAGTAGCACGATGCATTGTACCCAAATCCTCACCATCCTCGGCCAATAACTGGATATGCCGAGGGCCGATCTTCCTACCCACGCTGCCCAAAGTGACCGGTGCTTTCGGTTTCAGCTTTTTAGTCTCCTTCTGGAGATCTGTCACATTGGTGCCCCCCCCCCCCTCTCAGTGTCAGTATATGGTCAGGGCGAGACGATATGGCAAGAGCATGCTGGCCTGAGGGCTGATGGGATTCTTGCCAGGGGTGAGGAGAGCAGGCCGATGGGGCGAAGAAGAGGACTCAAAACAAGCCTCAGGAACCCCAGAGACATCCTAGAAGAGAGTGTCATGATGAAGGAGAAACTCTAATCATTTAATGATAGCAAATAATGTGAACAGACACTTCAAAACACACGATATACAAAGCATTTACTCGAAACCCACAGTAACACACAAGTAGAGACTGTTCCTCCATTGTTGTGGTTTCTGATAGATTACGGTCCTTTAGATCTGAACTCCGACAAACGCGGAATCCATCAAGTTTAGACTTCAAGACAAATAATCCGGGTCATAAACACTAATTTTGCCGCGTAAATATTTATGTTTATGCCATTTTGTTGTATTCAGCTTTTCTATTCGATAAAAATAAAATACAATACATTAAAATCTCCTCTGATTTGTAGGTGTCTTTTGGAAAGGAGCACAACTTTGCTTAGCCAAATAAATAAATAAACATGTCGATCCCTTTTGAATATAGAAGAAAGTGTATCAAACTTTCTGAGTATGAATGAGAAGTTTAATATGTTTAAAATAGGTTAGTATATAAAACAATACGTTTATTTGTAGAAGAGATACTCCATTATTTTGTGCTTTTTTTATTCTATATGTTTGTTTTGTTGCATTATTGTACTGTGCTGTGCATTTTTAGTATGGTATATGGATGAAATTTTTGTAGGCTATTTCAATTAAGGAAAAAGTGAAGGTTAATTAAAAGTTATAAGTTCCTTATAGCCTATAGAACTGGGTGAAAATGCAATATAAGACTGCATTGTACATTTGAACATGGTTAGACTTAAGCCAGATGCATCAAATGTTGTTAATAATAACAATAGCTCGTTTTAATTTAGGAATGCATGTTAATAAATAAATAAATAAAGAGCTCTGAATAGCATATCATAGCATAAAAGAGAACATGTGGGTCAGTTTCTGTGCGTTGGACTGTGCTTAACCGGAGCTGACACAGTTTGACCCGGAGCATAACGCTCATTGCTTCTCTTCACGCTGCTCGCTTGCTAGCTTTTCAATCCTACATTGGCTGAATTAAAAAAAATTAAATAAAATAGTAGCTACAACATAATCAGTTATGTAATAATATGAACTCCTTTTTATTTTGTCCTATTTTTGTTCTATTCTATACACACGTAATGCTGCTAAAACAATGCTTAATGGAACAATAGTGCTTTTTTGATCCATATGTTCGTAAAATATTATTTATGTATTTACTTATGTACTTATCAATTATTTTGTGTAGTACCCTTATAAAATGTTTTTTTTTTTGGAAATGGATCTCCCTTAATACCACCATACATAAGCTCTTTTTATATAGTTACTCCTAAAAAGCAGACAAAAACTTTGTAAAGGTTTTCTAATATGTGTTTTAGACATTGTGGGAAAGGCAGCATGGGTTGACCCTGTGGCTTAGGCCTTGGCTGCATTGAAACAGTAAATCTAGAGATTTTACAGTCAGCTGAGCAGCAATAGATGAATTTGTTTAACGCTCATGGGTACAAAGAGCCTCTAAGCTTTGCTGTTCTCAATGGCTTTAACCTTCGTGTCAGAGAGAAGCTGCTCCATTTCTCCCAGAATTCCTCTGTCACCTGCCCAACCGCAGGTGCACCGACAGATCCCTCCCATCAGAGCGCTGGGCACAGGAAGTGCAAAGAGCCCGAGGTCATAGGTCACAGCGGAGGCGCTTGTTATGTTTCCATCAGCAAGGTTTGAGTTTCAAAGAGCAGGAAGAAACAGTTTGAATGAGAAAAAGAGCCTATAAGAGGACAGTAGAATAGGACTGGCTGTGGGTGATTGGCTGTGTAACTGTGCTCTTCAAAAAAAAAAAAATTATAAAAAAAGTCTTGCAAGTATTACAAAAAAAAAAAACGTTTTTTGTCTATAATTGCTTTTTTTTCGGTAATGTTTGAGTCTAAGTACGTAGTAATGGTGTAATTTTCTTCTTTAACCTTTTAAATGTATGAGTAATGTTAAAAGATCGATGGCTATACCGCAATGAGAGCGCATTTAAAGGAACACTCCACTATTTTTGAAAATAGGCTCATTTTCCAACTCCCGTAGAGTTAAACAGTTGAGTTTTACCGTTTTCGAATCCATTCAGCCGATCTCCGGGTCTGGCGGTAGCACTTTTAGCTGTAGCTTAGCATAGATCATTGAATCTGATTAGACCGTTAGCATCTCGCTCAAAAATGACCAAAAAGTTTCTATATTTTTCCTATTTAAAACTTGACTCTTCTGTAGTTACATCGTGTACTAAGACCGACGGAAAATGAAAAGTTGGGATTTTCTAGGCCGATATGGCTAGGAACTATACTCTCATTCCGGCGTAATAATCAAGGAACTTTGCTGCCGTACCATGGGTGCAGCAGGTGCAATGATATTACGCAGCGCCTGAAATAGGCTTATTGGAAGTTACCTAGCTGGGGACTATTTTCAGGCGCTGCGTAATATCATTGTGCCTGCTGCACCTGCACCTTTCAGCTAATAGAAAGGACATTGTTGCCTCGCTCTACACTGTCTCTCATCAACCCAAACTCTTCTCCACAGCTCGAGTGAAAAAGCGTCTATCCGCTCTTGAAATTCTAAAGAAATGGGAAAGAAATCCTTCCACGCCAAGCTCCACGGCACTCTCAACATATTCTGATTTATATCAGTGCTTCATTGTGCCTCTAACTGTTTTAATCCAAATAAAATCAGAGGTAATGTTTCATTAGCTGTTATTTTTACATAATGATCCTTTATCAGCGGAATGATTTTTTTTGTATTAACATAATTAGCCAGCTCTCAGTGATCCGCAAGGTCTAATTGGCCCTGTGGCATGATGCACAAGGTGTCGTGTTGAGCAGGTGTTGATGGTGGAGGTGAGTGGCAAACGCGGGGCAACGCAGAGGCGGGTAATTACAGGATGGATTTCACTTTAATAAACGTGGGAGATGCAGATAGCAGGGCTTTCTACCTAATGGCTTCTGCCTCTGGAGCCACTTTAGACAGTGAATGATCTGAACGAGTGTTTAATTAACACATGCACTCTGATCCAGAGAGAGGATGAGAGAAAATGTAAAATGAGCAAACGCAAAGAAAGAATAATCTAGAGAACTAAACAGGGGCAGACAGAAAAGAGAATGGATGAAAGAAGGGACAACAAGGAGATGTGGAGAGAGAACACTGAAGAGCTGACAAGATATAAAAATAGAAATCAACATATAAAAAAAGAGATTTTTTTACATTTTCTGTGCTTGCCCATGCAAAGCTTGCCGTTGCAATGCTAGGATGCTGTGGCTTGTCGCCAGGGTCTTCCTGTGTAGTTGCTAGGGTAGTTATTTACCAGCCCAAGTTTTGAGCAATATAATGCAGCGACTATAGTCTTACAACTCTTAAAATATAGTCTTATACTGTATTCCTTATCAAATACAACTATATAGCGGATGTAACAAAATATGCTACTTCTACACATTACAGGTTTACAATATTTACAAGAGTGACTGTCATTGAGAACAATTTCAAAATGTTTCTTATTGTTTGTCTGATCTAAAAAAAATTATTTAAATGTATCCAAATTATTATTTTTTTTTTTTAGATTAATTTGATCATATGTTATGAGAAATGTTATCCACTAGTCTCATCTTGTTTCAGTTAACCATACGTGTAACTGATGTTGGTAATAATTTTTAATGAATACTGCTGTTTATAGCTATAGTGCATTACAAATGCATTTGTGTTATGAAGCAAAATTACACGTTTTCTGTGTTTTTTTCAAAATTGAATGTCATCGACAGATTTAGAATATTTTTATTGTCTGATTTAAAAAGTTTTATCTTCAAATGATCTGACTTTGTCTCTTAAAATATAGTCTTATACTGTATTCCTTATCAAATACAACTATATAGCGGATGTAACAAAATATGCTACTTCTACACATTACAGGTTTACAATATTTACAAGAGTGACTGTCATTGAGAACAATTTCAAAATGTTTCTTATTGTTTGTCTGATCTAAAAAAAATTATTTAAATGTATCCAAATTATTATTTTTTTTTTTTAGATTAATTTGATCATATGTTATGAGAAATGTTATCCACTAGTCTCATCTTGTTTCAGTTAACCATACGTGTAACTGATGTTGGTAATAATTTTTAATGAATACTGCTGTTTATAGCTATAGTGCATTACAAATGCATTTGTGTTATGAAGCAAAATTACACGTTTTCTGTGTTTTTTCAAAATTGAATGTCATCGACAGATTTAGAATGTTTTTGTTGTCTGATTTAAAAAGTTTTATCTTCAAATGATCTGACTTTGTTATGAGATTAAGTTGATTTTATGTTATAAGGAATGATATCCGCTATGGTTGCTCCAGTTAACCATAAGTATACTTGATGTTAGTAAGATTTTTTTTTTTGTGAACTCTTCATTTTTTTGTAACCTTGTAATTTTTAATCAAAAGATCATGACTTCCATGCAGACTTCTCTCTGGTGACATACAGACGTTTTTTTTTTTTTACCATCGACTGCAAGCTTGCATCCAGATGTGCCTCCATCCAAAACACCGGTTTTCTTTTTCGATTTCACTTAGTTGTACGTCACAATATGACAAAAAAATAAAGAGAGAAAAAAGAATTGTCGCTACTTCCGTTACACTGTGACTGCTGCCTATTAATAGCTTTTGACAAACAGTCTTGTATTCACTACATTTGCATATAAAATAGCTACATATAATTCATTCATTTCCACAGTTATGAAAAAAGTCCAAATATAATGAATGTAACACTTTTGTTCCCATAATACATTATCTCCAAAATTAGGCATGCATGCTCAATAGGAGATGAAAACAGAAGCACAGTGGCTTTACAAACAGTTTCTAAGTTCATTACAACTGCCAGTAGGTGACGAATTGCGTT